CTGCGTGTGCATTTGCGTGCCTTCCCTGGGTCCATCTCCGTGCTGATAGCGTGAGGAGGATGGGGAATATGAGGCCCGGTGTAGATTGTGCTCATCTGCCTTGGCTTGGCTGTTTGGGTTTGTGTGTTTTTATCAGCCCTGGGAAACACACAGATTGCTCATTCTCATGTTGAGGAATCAGAGATGCTTCTGCGGCATCCCGCTGTCTTTCCCTTTGCATTTAACACTCTCAGCAAGTTAACATTTGCATTCTGTAGCTCAGAATGGTGTGTGTTTATGTTTTTTAACAAGTAAAACACAATATTATTTTTTTTCCCTACCCCTTGAGCGTGATATTGGGGTCATGTGTGTCCCTTGCTGTGTGTTGAAATGTTGATTTGCCAGTCACAACCTCTGCTTTCAGCCTTTTTGGGTTTTTATGGTGAGGAAGAAGTGGGTCTTTTCCTATTAGACATCCTTGCTCTGGGTAGATGCTTGCCAGGCTGGGCTCTTACTGGAGATGCTGGGTTCTTGCATGGTGTCCCAATATGGGGTACTGGTGCTGCAGAAATTAGGCAGTGAAGGGGTGTGCAGCACCAGAGCATCCCTGCCTGCTCTATACTGAGCGGTGAAACCCGCTGCCATCCTCTCCCGATGCTTGTGAGGGTTTGCTGGCCGGTGGTACGGGAGAAAAACGGAGCAGCAACCGGAGAAGCCAGCCTGGGGTGAGATGCAGGGGTCAGCGAGGCCCCTGGGGGGGATGGCACAGCTTGGGGAGCTCTGACCTAAATATGGGCTTTGCTTGTCTGTTGGGCAAGGGAGAAATCATTCTTGGGATGAAAATCTTGTTCAGAGGGTGGGAAAGGAAGGATTACGGTTTGCCATCTGCCCTGATATTCAATATTGTAAATAATAATAAAAAAGTTAATGATCCGCAAGTCCCTTAACAGAGAGGTTTTTGGCCTGCCGCCGAAGCACTTTGCCTGCGCCTTGCTGCGTTGCGGGCAAAGCAGATTTTTCTCCCGAGTCGCTGCCAAGTGGGGCAGGAGGGATTTTTAAGGCTGCAAGGCACCCAGGAGAGCCCTGGAGCCGGTGCCTTTCCATTGCCCTCCTGCTGACAGCACCCATCGAGCAGCTCTTCCCAGCACGGACAAGCGCGGTGGTTTACGCAAGCACATTTAGCACAGCCAAATAACTCCCTAAATAACCACCTGTTAATCACGGGGGACAGGGGATCCTGCTGTGGGTGGGCAAAACCATGCGTGGCAGTGACCCCGGTTCAGCCCAGGACTGCAGGCCCAGTGCAAATTAACGAAGACGTTCATTTGCTTTAGTGCAGAGCTGGAAGGGGATGATGTTAGCATCCAGGCACAGTGGCTGCAAGGAGAATCCTCTGTTCTTTTGCTGCAAGAGCCTCTTTAAATTATGTCTGGAGTTATGTTTGATAGTGGGTTTAAAAAAAAAAAAAAGACATCTAAACCTCAAATTGTGCTGGGTGGTATGACCTCATTTAATTTAACGCAGAGCTTCTATTTTGCTCTTTTTACTTGGGGAAAAGGAAAGTTTGGGAAAACTTTGGTTTTAGTAACAGATGGCTTCTGAGAGCTGAAGGGTAGTTATTGAACTGTTTCGGAGTATGCTGCTTGACCATTCATGTGCTGTATATAAAAATGTAAATATTTTTGGGAAGCCAGGACTGAAGCTTGTGCTGGTTTTACTTCATATGTTTTTTGTCCTCTTCAGGAGCATCCAGTAATACTGGACCGCATGATTTCTTTGAGCAATATAGAATGAGGTTAGCAATAAGCCCAGTGCAAAGGGGGAAAAGTATAAGTGTGCTTGCTTGATGAAGAAAAATATACAGATATTTGTCCCAATCTCCACCTTGTTCTTCATTGACATTTGTATGTTCACCTTTGATTTTTCCAAGGTGCACAGTACTGTCTTTGGTTTCTATTAAAGTCCTTTCATAAGTTTTTCTTAACCTGTGTGGGAGAACCTTGGTTGTGAAATACTATATCTTAATCTTCGTTACCGAATTCCTAATTGCTAGGTGGTCGTCGATGCTATTGTATCGCCAGTGGTGTTGGTTTTCGGCCGTGCCCTCCCCTTTGGCTGCAGTCTTGTTGGAAGGATGCCCCTGGAAAAGTGCCCTCGACCCAGGAGCAACGAAAACTTCCCCGGGTCAGCTGTGAATATTGCCATTCCTGAAATAACTCAGGGGATTAAAAAACAATAATAATAAAGATGGATTCGCTGACTTTTCTAGCTTGCCACGAAGACTGTTGCGCCAGAAGCTGGCGGCTCATGGCCTAGATGGATGTACACCAAATGGCCCAGACTAAGAAAAAAAAAAAAAAAAAAGGTTAAAAATTAGCTATCTCCAGTTTGGTTTAATGGAAAATGTTACTCTCTTCTTAATTTAATGTAAGATTACACTCTGTCTACACGGTTGGTGTAACTCCTTCCGTGCAGACCAGCATCCCTTCCCACTGCGCTGGAGCAGCCACTGAGCACATTGTTGGGAGTTTGAGGATGGCTTGCTGGGAGTGCCTTCAGCTTTCAAACAGCAAAACAAAACCTGCCTCTTCTAATGTAATGTTGGTTTTAATCTGCATTCATAGTGGCAGCTTGCTAAAATCTAAATCAAATCGGGAGGTGGGGATTGAATTCATTAAGCTTCTGCTTAATCTGGGTGGAATAATGCAACAGGCTCTGAGAGTACTGAATCACTTCGGTTTATTGGGAATCTGGTTTAAAAAAAAAACAAAACAAAACAGATTTTTAAAACTTCTATTTTCTTGAGAGGCTGAGCATGCAGAACTATTTCCAATTAATGCTAACAGCTTGTTCAAAGGTGTCCTTGAGGATTAAAGGAATGCTTTTTTTTCTTTCTTTCTTTCTTTCTACTCTCCTAGATGGAGGCAGTGCTGTGTCAGGAGGTTAAGTGATCTGCTCAGGGTTTTGTCTCCTGAGCCTGAAGTCAGGCTTATCCTCCGGTCCCAGTACTTTGAGATAGACCCGCCTGCCCTTTCCCTTCCTAACAAGCTCCTCCAGAAGATCAAGAGATTGTTAAAGCTAGCGAAGCCAGGACATAGCATATAAAGCGGAATAATTACGCTAGAGGTGAGATGATGGAAGTAGAGCTTCACAGAGATGCTCTCCTCCTGCCCTGGTGGGTACCTGCCTGGGGGCATGATTTTGGTGACCCGGTGGCTCTCATCTATATGAATTTGATTGGTGAACGTACAATGTATGAAGCTGCTTTGGAGTGAGCGTGTTGCAGAAGTCGGAGGCAAGGCAGGCAGGCAGGCAGTGTGAGTGTGGTGCTCGTCCGTGCCCCCACCATGGGCTGCCTCCAAGCCTTGGCAGGTTTTAATTAAAGCTTGCCTTATAAAGATCTAAGAATGACAAAGTGCTTTTATTTCGGCGCTGTACGGTTTGACATACTTGGAATTTATGAGTGAAAGAGAAGGGTTGGATGCGGGTTTGTGTAGCAGCCTGCCCTGCCTGGAGGGCTGAGCGCTTGCATCTCTGCTGGAGCACAGCAAGGAGGGGAGGACGGTGAAAATGAACAACAGAAAAAACGGTGGTCCCCTTTTTGGATGTGTGTGTGTGCATGCACGCATGAGAGGACAGAATTATAGATGCTTGGGGAAATGCATTCATAACATCCTATTCTAACAGCCCGCAGCTATTTACCGGGATGAGAAGCGCTCGGTACAGGGAATGCTTGTGCTGGAGCAGTGATCGCATTTGGGATCTCCCAGCCAGGGAACGAGTTACCCCCAGGGCTTCTGAGACCTTGCAAACACCTATGTCTTACTGCCTTCTGCACTGTGCCATCCCTTGCATATACACAAGAGTCTTGGAGAATCAGGTTTCTTATTAAAATTCTGTAGTTTTGTGGTCAGGAACGTGATGTCTTTAACTACTGGCTTGTAAGTCCATCCTTGGGTGATGGATGCTGAGAGCTGGTACCCTCTGCCAGTGGTTCCCACATCTCACCCGGGCATTGGATGGCTTCTGGCTGTGGTTGGTGATGAACTGCCAAGAGGGGCCGACGTGACCTGTTACTGCTGCTGGAGGTGGACCCAAAATTCATCTACTAAAGCATGCACAAGCACCACCAATGGGCTTTGGGTTGCTTTGGGGTCAACATGCCCTTCTTTGCATCTGTCTGTCCAGGCAGGTCCATGGCTCAGCCCAGCCCCGTGCACAGGCGGAGAATTTGCCCGACACCAGCAATGTCTTGTTTTTGAGGCTGCCTTGAGCCGCGTACATTCTGATCCCCAGCTATTTTGGGCATTTCTAGAGCATGCTTGATCTCTCTCCTGTTAGGAGAGAGCTGGCACTGGATGAAACCATGGCAGTGGGGATGAAAAGGCAGGCAAGGTGTTTTGCAGGAGGGCTGAGAGCTGCACCAATGGTCCATAAAGCCCTTTCCGTGGTGTTGGAGCCTGGAGAAACTGGGGCGAGGTGCAGGGGATGAGGAAAGCAGAGTGATGCATCGCCAGCTGCACCTACTGCTTGTTTCATGGCCTGACCAAAGATGGGGCTCCTGGCCATGCTGCAGGGATGTTACATCTCTTGCAATGCTGCTTGCTGGAGGAGATACGGGAGACTGGGCTGGGTGTCCCGAATCGTCCCCTTCCCCATGGCAGCGTCCCTTTCTTGTGGCAGGGAAGGTGCTGAAGGCTTGTGGGGTGCTAGGGGTGGTGTGCTGAGAAAAGTCTATTTATTTATTTTATTTTTTTTTTTCCCCTCCTTGATGAAACTGCTGTTCTGGCACTATATTTGTTTAGCTCCATTAACATCCAAGGGTTCCCGCTGCTGTAGCTATTGAGCAACTCTAAAAATAATTACACATGATACATACAAAAATCTATTGCTCTTCAGCTGCAGAGCAGGCTGTAAGATGGCTGCTGCTGCTTTAACTCTTGGATCACTCCGAGCATTATTTGGCCAATGTGTGCTGGGGGTCTGGTTTTAAGGTGAGGGCTAAAACCATCTTCGGTACTATGGTGCTGGTATCGCTTGGATTTGCTGGGATTTCCCCCAACCCCTTGTGTTTTGTGTAAGAATTAAATTTATGTAGATCTTATTTCAATCAATAGGAAGAGTTGAGGGCCCTAAAAATGTGAATAAATAAGTGATTGTTGAAGGGTTCCTGTTGTCTCTGTGTTGGCTGGCTGAGTCCACCATCAGGCTGGCTTTATGGGTCCACACACAGCAACAAAAGCCTGACTCCTGGGGACTCCATGCAGAGGTGGAGCAGTTTTGGGTTCCTCGTTCTCAGGACCTTGTCCTGGCAGCCCCGGGAGCAGGGAAACCGGTACCTGCTCAGGCAAAAGGAAAGGTGGATGTAGAGGATGAGGGAAATCTGTGCACGGAGGTGGCAGCGGTACTGCTGGGTCTGCTATGCGTTTGTCCCAACTCCTGATGGCAAATACTGGAGGTCTCAGCACAGCAACACTTACTTGCTCCACACGGGGGGATGCTTTTAATGCAGCCTGGGCAGAGTATTTATCTCTGCATCATAAGCAAATTAAATCTCATTAGCAGGAGGTGGTGTGGCTCTGAGTAACTCCATAATCTCGTTACACGTGAGCTTTGCTGCTCACTATTGGATTTTTGTTCCTTCATGGACACTTTGGCTGAGCTATATGGGTCTACCTTTTGGCATTTTTTTTTTTCTTGGAGGTGTAAGGGTGGCCTGAACTTTGGAGATGCTAAAAAGGTTAAATATTGCATCTAAGCATTTTTCTGGAGTCTTGAAGCCTGTTTGCAGGTTCGCCTCCAGTTGAAGAAGTTGGCTTTGGTGTCTCCTATTGCCTGTTTAGCTACATGGTGGTGGGTTTGGGTTAGGGCTTGCTCTGTGGGGGGCAACCTAGTGTTGTTTAGTGCAAAAGAAATATGCATTGGTGTACGGTCTGCTGGGGGGGAATTGGGTTATTTCATAAGTTTCTAGAAGGCTTTTTTTTTTTTTTTCCCAGGGAAATTAAATTTCACATTTACCTTCAGTCTGTACCCCGCTTTGTTAGATTGGTAACAAGCCAGTGTACACCTCATCCAGGAGAAGCCTGATTGAAAGTCTGATTGAAAATCAGACTTCTGGTCTGTAATTTACCCCAAACCTTAAAATTAGAATATTTATTTTTTGGACTGAAATAAATGGTTTAGCTACACTGACTTCACAATGAGTGTGGGATTGTATCCATGGTGAATTAATTTATTTATGATTTAATTTCCTGAGGTTTCCTTGTGTTTAAGCTTTTTCTTTCTTTTTTTTTCTCCCCTCTCCAGTACACTAGGGTTTGGATTCCTGACCCTGATGAAGTTTGGAGATCGGCAGAAATTATCAAGGACTACAAAGAGGGAGATAAAAGCCTCCATCTGAAACTTGAAGATGAAACTGTAAGCTTTTGAACATTGTTATTCTTCTCAGTAATTTAAAACTTGGAATTAATGTGTGAAGAAGCCTGAGCCATCTCATATTTTTAGGAAGTATTTTTAAATGTGTTTTATTGCCTTAGTGCTTCCAGCTTTTCCCTGCCCGCTCCCTCCCCAGACACTTGACTTAAAGTAGGTTGCGAGAAAAGCCCTTGACCCCTCTCATCTCTCTTCATCCTCTGGCAAAGTTGTAATAGTCCGTGATATCAGAATAAGGCGTTTTTTTATAGCAGCAGTATGTTAGAAATATCAGTTCATGGTTTTTGCTGCTGAACAAATTGGAAACAGCATGGCTGGTGGCATCTACTCAAACTTGGGTACCGATGGAAAAAATCACACAGAGCACGGAAGTGTCTGCTGTACAACAGCTTTCTCCATGCCTTAGTTTTTCTCTTTAAGTATAATCTTATGTAAACCCATTTTTTCTCATTTTTTTTAAATATAAAAAAAAAAAGCTCTACAAGACAAGAATGAGAAACTCATTTAAATGTAGATGTTTTTTAGCAAGTGCTGCTTTCAAATGTACAAACAGCCCGGGCTCATGGCATGTGTGCGGCCAGTGATAAATCATTCCCAAAGCAGGGTTGGAGGCTGGGGAAGAGCAGCTGCTTTCTGTCCTGCACAAAAAGCTCATGGGGTGGGATGCTGGGTAACAGCAGGGGATTGTGGATGAAGTTAACCATGGCATTTGCATCAGCTGCAAAATTCGGGTGGTTTGTGGGAAGGGAGCAGCCATGCTACGTGCCTGCCATGAGGTGCATTCTTCCCACACGTGGTGCCTGGCGTAGCAGGAAGAATAAATATATTTTTCGTGAAGAATTCCACCTAAATGAGCTTTCTTCACTGAGCAGATGGGGTTTCCTTAGCTGTCTAGAGAGTGATTTGCTTTGTTGCTAAAAGAGTTAATAGAGGCTACTTGCTCCAAATTGAAAATGCTCTGAGGAGGTTGAGTAATTCACGTCCCCTGCCAGCTGACCATTTCCATACTGCGAGGAATATTTTCACCCTATTACTTAATGGGAAGATGGAGAACAGGAATAAGACACGCTTGATTAGGCTGTTCATCAAAACAGTTCTTCTTTCAGAGCAGAGCAAGCACGGGCTGTTTGCAGTACGTGAATGTGCCAGGTTTGCAAACAAAGTCATTCACGTTGAAACCTGCACCCCATGGTGCTGTTGGCTCCTCCCAGCTTAGCCCCAGTTGTGCTTGTTGTCCTCCCCAATTTGCTCTTCCAGCATAGGGCAGCTTTCTGAGGAGGGTAAAGGATGGATGATGCTCCGCTTGGAGATGCTTTTTTCCCCTCTGTGGTGATAAATCTGTATGAAGTGATGCACAGATGCCACCTCACTGTCCTTTGGAAGCACCGGGCATGTTCTTGTAGAACCATGAGTTGCTACCCCTTGCTTCTTGATGGGCTCCCTGCCCAGTAGCTCTGTGGTTGGACCTCTTGGACTCACCATCCTGTGTCTGTCAGTCCCTGTTCCAAGTCATAGAATCATGGAATGTTTTAGGTTGGAAGGGACCCCTAGAGGTCATCTAGTCCAACCCCCCTGCAGGGATCAGGGACACCTTGAACCACATCAGGTTGCTCACAGCCCTGGCCAACCTGGCCTGGAATGTTTCCAGGGATGGGGCCTCCACTACCTCTGTGGGCAACCTGTGCCAGTGTTTCACTACCCTCATTGTAAAGAATTTCTTCCTTATGTCCGGTCTAAACCTACTCTGTTTTAGTTTAAAACCATTACCCTTTGTCCTGTCACAGCTGTCCCTACTAAAAAGATTTTCCCCATCTTTCCCATAGGCCCCCTTTAGGTACTGAAAGGCCGCAATCAGGTCTCCCCGCAGCCTTCTCTTCTCCAGGCTGAACAAGCCC